CACAAGTACCACCGTATAACGATAGCGAAGAGGAACGTTCTAGCGCTCAACAACCAATGAATCGATGATCGATCACCTATGAAACCATTTCGCTCGCTGTGCGAAGATGTCACTACGAAGATTTTGAGCAAACAATATACCAAGTATCTGCAACATAAGCTGTTGTACTGGGATCGACTATGACCACTGAAAATGGATGGATTCCAGTGAAACATAAGAAATAACACACCTGTATAACAGCAACAAGAACAACTGCAACGGCCACATAAGTCATATTCTGCGATAGATAATTCTCAATTTTTGGTGTACATCCCTCACTGTGTATGGCATCGCTTAGACCCTGAAAGGATATACCACAAGTGTGAACCCAATTAGTCTGTAAACAGTCGTCTGCATCTACCAACATCTTTTTTTTTATCGAGGACGAAACCTGCATTCAGCTGAGACATTTCGTCTGAATTTATGCTTTTTGATTACTTCTTTAATCAAAAGTTTGCACTCTTCATTTACAACTTCAAATCTTCTATGGATAAGCGACTCGATTATAACATGAAAGTATAAACAAGTAAATAGAAACAGTGAAATAAAGCTGGAATGCTAACCTCTTTCATCAAACGCGCACCGTGACCACAGAAATAGTTGATTGGACCACCATTCATGCCGCGCAATTGCTTACAACAAGAATACGGCACTCCACCTGCCTCAGGTGATGAGAACTGCTGCGAGGACTTATTAAAATAGACATTCATATCCCAATCGTGTGGTGAACGCATTCCACAACATTTGAAATAGATTTGTACCCAGTCGATCAGTGCTTGCAAATCCGGATCGTCCCGATACATAATCACCTGCAACCTCATCAGTTTTCGTCAAGAAAACACCACATCCTGTAAGTGAAAATATTGCCTCGATTACTTTGACAGACTATCATGTAACTGCTGAAAACAATGAAACATATCATAAAAAGCGATCAAATACATCAGCCACACAGACCGACATCTTGCCCATTTAGCGAAAAATTACGATTAATCAAATATAACAACCTTCATGTCCGTGGGATTTCGAGCTACTGGATGCAGAGCTTCTTAGAAAGCTGAAACTTGCCAACGAAGGCATTCCACTGCAGTTTGGCTGATAAATTGCTGTCAGNAGCTTCTTAGAAAGCTGAAACTTGCCAACGAAGGCATTCCACTGCAGTTTGGCTGACAAATTGCTGTCAGATGGGATTTCTCGATAAGACGAATGAAACTATTTACTAACTGTATCGTCCAGACGAGTGAAGAACTCTTGTGTGATCCAGTCTTTTGAAGCAAACACGAGTACGACCAGTGCCATTTCGGCCAGCAGTAAGAGACCAATAATAGTCGAGTAGAGTGCCAGAAAACATGTATTTTCTCTTAGTGCACCAATACAACCACTGAATCCAATTAAGAATATCAATCCACCTGGAAAATTTTCGAAAATCTTCATTTCTATACAATGCAGTATCAAACACGCGTGAACTCAAATAAGTGGCCTCACCTGATGACAGCAAACAGCCAATCAACTGGGAACGTGGTTTACTATGATGAATTTCCAGCCAAGTGAACCACTTAATTGGGCAAATGTACGAAGAAAGCGTTAAACGAACCGGCAAAAATGAGAAAAACAGCCGGATCCAAGTAGAACTTGGACGCTTTGTTGAGATGTGAATAAGCACTGTTCTTTTCGAAATGTGCCCATACACCAACGGCCAATAGCGTAAAGCCAATAATCCAAAAGAGGACGTTGAAGCTGAACACTGAATACTTTACACAACAACTGATCTCCGATGAACCCATTTCGTATTGCACAATCATTTGCTGTAATAGACAATGATGAAGTTAAGACAAGATGAGTTAAGGACTTTAAGATGAAACAAGTGATACAGTCGTTTAATTTTTCTTCCATTTTTTCAGTACATATTAAGTTTCTCTTTCTCATTTCGGTAAAGCTTTCAGAACACATTAGCTTTGAGTTTAAGTTTAAATTTAAGTCTAAAGTTTAAGTTTAGGTTCAAGTTTAAATTTAAGCTTAAGTTTAAAGTTTAAGTTTAAGTTTCTCTTTCGAGTCATATCAAGTTACGTGATAATTTTCTTTTGAGATTATCTAGGCGTACACTTCAGTTACATTGATTAAAAAAATTCGGCTGTCAGCAGAACACATCTCAAACTCATCAATACATAAAGTCGTCTGTTTCGGTAATTAAGAATATTAAGAGAATCTTAAGCTTTGATGGAAATATTAAGAGAACAAAAACAAAAAACTCAAGTAAATTACACGATGCATTCGATTTGAAGGGTTTGAACGAGTCTGCGGTGCTGGTGCATGACCACGTGATGCTCTTTGTACAGGCGCCATAATCTCCTGCCCGACACACCTCACCCGCTCGCAGATTTAGTTTACCTGAATTGATTGAGACTTTAGTCATCTTCATTATTTCTCAGTAATACAAAGAGCACGACGATACTATGAAACCAGAACAGATTCGCCTAAATATGACTAAAAATTGCACGTAAATTTTTAGAGAAATGATACATTTTTAGAGCAGGATAGCACTGAAGACNACTTAGAAAGCTAACGATAAGTGAATCAACCGAAATGCAAAGTGCTTAAATAATTGGATTACACACAATTCAACCAAATAAAGCATATACTGGGAAATTTCCCCAAATCACCATATCCGCATACAGCTAACGAATATCAGTAACAAAACCAAGGTTCCACTCCAACCCCCCCCCCCCGGAATCCCGAAAAAAATTAAACAACGAAAGCCTCAGGTGGAACAGCTGTTTAATGAACATCTGCAAATCCGGGTACTTCTTGGTGACGGTTAGGTCACCTTGCCAAGAGTGGTTGCTGAGTCAGAGGATGTAATTCAAAGGAAGTGAATGGCGATTGCCAGCACAGTCCAATGAACGATTGGAGGCTTACCGTAATGAAAACTTATCGTGGACAATATTGAAATGCTATAATATTGCAGGAAAATTTTTTCACTCAAATTTGGTTTTCAAGTGGGTTCTGGGATCGTTATTTTGTTCCATTCGAAGCAAAAGTTTAGCGCTAAAACAACCAGATCTGAGTGATAATAAATGTTTTATGAGCATACATTAGAAGTTTAACACTTCAACTCAAGTGACAGCTGCGATATTAAATAACATCCTGAAGTATTATCATCAAAGCATGGAAAATTCTATTACGATTTATCGTTAATCTTATGATTACCTTTCAATCAACCAATTTCTTTCTCGTATTATGATTTATCATTAAAATGAATTAATCCACGCACATCATTAGCATTCATGCAATGGGAGCAATAAGAGTCAAAATAGTTTATTTATTCACAAAATACTGATGGAATAAGTTTATCATAAGTTTATTCAATTAATGGCGTGATTTCCGCAATAAATTTGAGATATTATAATAATATTACAACGCAATGAAACAAAAACTATTTCAATATACAGATGAATATTATCATGTCAGATAATGTCAAAATATAACCTCGAGAGAAAGAGATAATGTTTGTAAGCATTTCATTGATTCATACACATTAAATACTGCAATTCAGAATATAATGACAATACATCAAGTATTCATTGGTATTCAATTTCGTGAACTCATAGAGTAATTTCGTAAACTCATAGAAACCAGGTCTCGCTTCGTTAGTATTATGGATGCACCTGATTTCTAGAAGTATACCTAGTTTGAACTTATTTGCAGATAGAATACTTTTCATCACAGTCCGTGAAAATTAGAAATTCATTTTTCTACGCTCAACTTGATTTTTAGTTTTTTAAAAGAGCAAGTTCGGCCATCGGATGACGATCTGTTCCTGCTGCAAAGTTGTGAACATGCAGACGGGAAAGCGTCAATTACATTTGAAAGTTTTAACAACTGTTGAGTATTTGCATTGCAAATACTCGACAGTTGTTAAAACTTTCATAACGTTTTGGAGATGTAAAATCAACGAATATTTGCGTGGAAAACTGAAGTGAGCGGAACGAATTAAGCGAGTCTTTGATAATTCTTTTTGCGATTCGCACACATCACACATATAATGATTATGAGCACGACAATAATGAGCACACCAATAACGTGTATAAGCCAAAACCAAAAGCTGTTCCACCATCCCTCATCGTTCGCCTCTTTCGGCACTTTCACTGAACTCGTATTGTCCGCTGAAATCAGAAATATAAAATATCAGCTAAGATTTGCATCTTCACGTATGATCATTCGATAGATCTACATTATACACTGAACACTCTATATCTACAACAACACTGATGACGGTTAAATTACAATTCCGAAAAACCCGACAAGAGTAATTTCTCATAATGCTTCTCTTGAACGGTGCGTTAAAAAATGTCCTCTTCCTTCCATACAGAAGCAAAAGAGGGAGAATCTTAAAAACAAATATACAGCAAATTGTCGTCAACATTGTTTCCATTGAATACTCTGATGTTGGACGAATGAGTATGATATGCAGAAATAAGAGGTGTTATTGTGCGAACTTGTTTAAAGAACTATCAGCTAAAGGGTGGAGGATATGTGGAAGAACAATAATAAAGCTAGCACTGCTGCACGTAAGAACCAGGTAATCGCTGGCGAAACGAGAACTTTCAAAAATTCAACCTCGAGAGTTGGCCATAGCCGATTCGAGATTACCCCAGGAAGGTGACATAGTTTGCACTTCATCTTCTACACCTTCATTCTTCTGTTTCTGTTTCTGTTCTTCTCCTTTCATATCTTCGAGAATATGTTTAATTTTCTCCTTCATCTCGTCTGCAAAAAATAATTAATTGCTCGACAACATAATCTCAGACTGTTTGCTCTCGTTACCATCTTGAATCAGTGAATCTGTGAAAATTGCTGCAAATAACTGCAGTTGATGATTTGTTTTCATGAACAAATTACTGTGAATGAAAATTTTTTAGGAATGAAAACCCTTTGTGGGAATCGATGGCCTTGTTGCGTTGTGTTTCTCATCCAAAATTCCTTTCAGCCAATCCTCAAATTTCTTCTCCTTGTCCTTCTCGTCTGAGCCCTTTTCTGCTGCCTCTGTCGTCGTTGTTGTTGTCCATTCACATTCACCATTACCTCAAATTTTACCCCAATATACTTTTCAANGGAATCAAGACGTACGACATATTCGCTTTTTAATCTCATCCAATAGCTCTTGCATTTTTTGCTTCTCCTTTTCCTTCATTTCTTCGATCTTCCCCAAAACTTTTGAAAGCCAATCCTGAAAATAAAAAATTATTGCATCATTCAATTCATTTACTGTGAAATAACTTTGGTTCATTCATTCTATTCAGTATATCTCCACAATTTATCAATATTATCAGTGATATGTTTATGAGACGAACCTCATCGACTGGAGGAAATGGTGGACGAGGTGTTCGACGGATGATTGTCAAGCCTTTACCTGATGCGGCGGCGACACTCACCGAAATATCCAGCAAAGGGATCAACAAAGTTATTAGCACTAAATGTTTCATCTTCTCTCTGGAATGTTTATGGCATGATAAAAATTAACTTGAAAGAATTAAAAGGAAAAAGATTATCGCTTCTCGAATTCCTGTTCGTGACCTCAATTAGAATGCCGTTCAGAAATTAAACAAAACTTGGACTTTCGGAGCCCTCAAGCATGTGTTGCATGTCAGGAACACTTAAGCTATTTCATTGCGGTCACAATTCAGCAGTAGTGTCTGAATTTATTCACTCAACATCAACATTTCACCCTCGCCTGTTACGAATTACTCTCGCTTAGTCAGGAAATATTAATGATTGCCTCAGCATTTTTAGCAATCGTTATATAGATTGCTAATGTATTCAACGTCATTATATACACTTCGAATCTGAACTGGAATGGAATTTCTCGAGTGAAATGAAAAGCGAATGATCATAAAATTGGAAGTCGAACTCGCAAACTGGCTCCACTCAGAGTGATTATAAGAATGAGGAGTATTTTAGTCCGTCATAACAATAATACAGAACGAGCATAAACAACTGATGAACATAAACCACAATGCATAAGGGCCACCACCACCGTTTGTATATAATAATCCTAATAATCAAAAATTGCTAAACATATGAGATTCTATTATCTTATCAGTTTGTTTATCGTTAAGTCGTTCTTCACTATCACATGATCGTCAACCATCAGTGACACAGCGCACCCGAATATCTTATCTTTCTCTCGATGAAACGTCATATCAATTGCGATTAAATGGTTGCGAAACTTTTGCCGAGACTGTTCTTTTGCATAAGACTGATCGAGTACAAATGTACCGCATCTCATCACATTGAATAACATCTCATCGAACTATGGAAGGAGTTTATGGTTTATGACTGAAGTGTATGGTTTATGACGAGATAGAATTTGGAGAAATTTCATCGTGAAATTCGGTTCTTGTTTTCATGGGTCACCATCTTCCGTGCGAATATTGACGGTTTAGATTCGTTTGAATATACCGGGATTTGTTGAAGTTGATTAAGGTACTGAGATATTAATTAAATGCGTACAATATCAGTGATTCACATATTTGTTTCACTGTGCAGTTAAGATGACTCTCATTCAGTGTTATTTGAGCAAAAATGTGACGACATGTTTTGTGATAATCGCATTCAAACGTTTGAGATTTCTTGATCTTTCATTCCTTCTTCTCCATTTTCCATTCATGCATTCTTCTACTTCATTACATAAGCACCTACTCATTCGAATCTTATACTGTTAAGATTGTTTTAGATAGAAGTGCGAGTAACATTTCATACGAGTGTTATCGTGCACATTGCACAATAGTGATGTCAATCGAGTGAAACTTTGGTTCGGTTGAATTCACACTGAAACAACTTTTCATCCTTTCGGAATTCCGTATTTGACCGAATTTCAAAATCTCCCGTCGAAATCCGTCAGAATTTTATTTGATTTTAGCGGCTAAACTTCAGTCGGTTACCATTGCTATTGCACGACGAATGTGGTTATGGAAATCGCTTGTTCGGATGAGCAGGGAAATAGGGAATGTGGCGAAATGGTCGATCATTCAAATCAACCGTTAACTAAAGTTGGTTTAATCATATGGAACGTTCAACTGGTGCAGAAACGATTGGTAGGGTGTTCGATTTTCAGTTGAATTGGATTTGCCTGAGCCTTCGATTGAGCCTAACCCGGATACGGATCGTAATTTATTTCTAGAGAACCACAAAACGCACAGACCGAGGAATTTTTCCAGTACGGCTGAATCCTTGTTAAAGGCTTCAGATGTGTTAAATGGGGCTGGGATCTATACGATTAACCGTGTATAACGTTTACCACACTTCAAGTGCACAAGTGATGCCCACTCTGAAGATAGATTCAGATATCCAGAACGCGTTATTAATTTTCATTCACATTTCCATGATTATGAAGGCGGTTTCGCCTGTCTCAAATTTTTTAATTCATATTAATTGCACCTTCCGGTGGTGTACAGTAGTGTGTGAAACCATGTTGTTGGAAAAGAATTCAATCAATTCAGTTATACATCATTACCATTCGATGTGGTATGGAATACAATCCCATTTTATAGGCAAACGATCGCATCACATTAACTCAGTATTCTATTTATTGTGAATGACTGAACAATTGCTTTCGGATTCATGTCTACCAGTACGGCAATATTTGGAACGCTTACGGGATGTATCGGTTGTGTGGTTGACATCGAATCCATTTCAAAGTAATTCAGTATTCCTTACAATTTAATACAAGTAAAGAGTCACCCATGAAACATCTAACGAATATGTGTGCATATGCGTGGATCACTTCATCATCAGATTTCAATTTGGCTAATTATGAATCCGGCCTGAGAGAAGAAGCATTTTTGATATCGGACAATGATGTTTTCCACTCAGTTCAATCGCCCCATATTGCTTATTCAGGCAGTTAATCCAAATTCAGTGCCTTCACTCATAAAGGAATAATTGATGGTGATGACGATCTGAATGAGTGGACAATTGCAGGAGAAGTCCAGGATGTATGAATTTGATGACATTTGCGACTTTTGTTTGGATTTCATTTGTGGGTTTGGTTGTGCAGTCGAATTACTTCACTAAACTGCCATCCAACAAAATACCAATTTTAAGGTTTCTTTTACCCTAATCAGACTGCTATCTCTTTCATCAACATTTATTCGAACACCATGATTCAGTATAATATTTTCACCCACTTTTTGAAATCATTCCGTTCATATTTATATCAGTTCAAGTGGAATGCTGGAATTCCTGATGCATTTCCAAAGATGTCTAAAATCAGCGCTCAATGATAGAGGTTGAGGCAGAATAATCTTGCTAACCTCAACGACTCAAATGAAATTTTCAACTGTTCATGCAAATCATGAGTGTTTTATGGTTTTCAGAGGTTATTTGCCAATCGTTGCTCTGTTTTTCATTGTGAGTGTCAGTAATAATCTATCATTGAACTTCGATATCCCAATGCCATTATTCATCATTTTTCGTTCGGTTAGTTGTAACTACACAAATCTAATCCTTACGCGAATGCTTGATTCCTTATTCACTTTTTTGATTGTTACAAATTTCACCTCCTCCTGATGGATCAGCTGTTCGAATCGGTTCGTTCGTACTGAATACGATGACAGAAACAATGAATCCAGCAGTTTCACAACTGATCATGTGGTATCCTATATGGTAGAATGTTGTTGTGGACAGTCGTACTTCTAGGGTACGCTGTTAGCAAATCTACTGTTGGGTCGTTTATTGCTCAGTCGAGTGTATTCTTGGCGTAAAATACTGGCCGTTGTGCTGGTTACAGTGGGAATTATTCTATTCACAATGGCTAGTTCAAAGGAAAAAAGCGAACAAAAAGCGGAAACAAGAAGCGCAATTGTGCCAGATTGGATATCTATGCTGAGGATTTCACCTTTCATAATTGGTTCGCTGAAATTTCATGTTGTCAATTTGTAGTATTTGTTTCGACAGTTACTTCTTGACGAAACGAATAGCAAAAAAAGATTTAATCGTCTATAGTTCTTCGATGAAAAGTGTTCATCAGGAGGATTACGAGGAAGACTTCTGATATATTGAGGAGCGAAAAATTTTGTAGTTGATGGTTACTGATTCCATTGGATTGCAATTTATGTGAAATAACATTATTGCGAATGCCTGAAATATATGATTAAGGCGTTTCGCTTCTAACAAGTGCACTGTTCATATCAGCCTATCTTGGTATCCAACAAGAGATTCTGTATCGTACTTATGGAAAACATCCTGAAGAGGCGATGTTCTTTATTGTGAGTGTACAGTTCGTCAACAGTTTATGTTATTTGGAATCATAAGGAATGATTCTCTGCAAAAATCTGACTGAATTATTTTGTTGCTTGTAAGACTCAATCCTTTACTTCGCTCATATTTTTGAAAAGAATCGTTTATATAGCCACTCGTTTGGGTAGAACGAGTAAGGTGTTTCCAGCACGTCCTTTCGTTGCCTGGCTTCCTGTTTTTATCGAACGATATCTGGGAAACAAGCCAGCGTTTCAGCCGATCTCCTGCTTTCAGTGTTTTCGGTGTGAATGTGTGGACATCTTTATGGGTACAGCTGATCTCGATATGTGTTCTGCAGTGAGTTGTGTTTCTTCGACAGTTACAAATTTCTAATTTATGAGAATGCTTTATGAAATCATCATCAGTTTGAATAGAGCTGTTAACCGTCACACATTTGTTGCTAAAGCCATAGCGATAAAGTTCAATGGCCACCTGAATACCACTTGTTCACAGTGAATCATCAAGTTCATCGCCGTTCTTGCCGAAGCAATAACCATTCATATGATTGATTTTTATAAAATCACATTTGCAGTAGAAAATCTAAAGTCCAAGTGCGAGAACCAGTGTTCATTTCTTCAATACAAATCACGTATATTAAGCGGGGGGGGGGTTATACAATAGTTTACCCGATTTATACATGTTAATGACAACAGTAATGTTGACTTCATATCCTCTTTTCGTCCCAGAGAGTTACTAAATATATTCTTCGTTTATATCCATACGTCCATTTATGCAAGCTAGAGTTGAGTCAGTGACCACCGATCGACGATTAAAAACCTTATCGATGGCCCTCGATAGGGTGTTCAGATGGTGATCACCAGAAAAAATGCTGTCAGATGCCTACTGTAACGTGTAACATGTACTGTGCTTCGCAGTTCTTCGAACAAACTAACAATGTTCGTTCAATGTTCACCTTTCCAGGTGTGTATTGCTTTAAGCGCTTTCGAGTCAGAAATTTCACTCTTGAGTATATTTTGTACTTTCAGAATACAATGAGGCAGTCGTATTGTGAACAAGAACTTGGATGCGATGTTCCTCATTGGTGATATTTGTGGTGCTTGATTGCTTGCTATACCGATTCTTGATTGCTATGCCGTGTCAAGAAATAAGTTCCGGTAATATTCAACATGTATTCCAGCAATCAAGCATATATGATGAATGTTTACCAGAACATCTAGTCATTTGTTGGTTAATTATGCACGATATGGATTATCAGCAGTGAATTGGTTCATCATTGATCAAA